GCATTCGAGCAAAGCTAAATAGGCCAATTACATATTTTTATGGATAACCTATAGTGATGTTTAAGAAACAAGACCAAAAACTCAATACACATTTGTAAATGATGAGTACTGAGTCCTCCTCATTGGCCTCATGATCTTCGTAAATGATGAGTACTGAGTCCTCCTCATTGGCCTCATGATCTTCCCCTGAGGACTCATTGGCCTCATGATCTTCCCTTGCAAGTTTCTTAAGATGACATCGTTTCTTCCCTCAAGTTCATCTCAAACTTATCTCTCTCTCAATTGGATGCTTATTTATCCTTTCTTAAGTCCGAGCTTGTCAATATTCGCAAAGGAATGGCTCTTTTTTTGAACCACACCCTATAAGAAAGATGGAGATTCAAGCTTAGCGGGAAAGAGAGCTTGCTGAAGGTATTAAAAATATTCGGGCCAAATATTCCCAGAAGTTTAAAGAGTTATTTCCAAATGATAAGGATGTCTTCGTCAATGTTATTGTTGTTAAAGGTTCCTGAAGCTTCTTTTTGAGGTTCATTGCTTTTGGGAGGCTCTATTTGAAAGTGTCTGTTTTGGTCTTTATGTAATTTTATGTGTTAGCAATTTTGCCTCATCTTTTTTCTCTTTTCGCTCCCTTTGGGAGTTTGTATCTTTTGAACATTTTGTTCCTTTTCATTAATCAATTAGAAGTTGTATCTTGTTAAAAAAAATGATGAGTACTCCAAATAAATTTTAATATTAAACACATTCAATATTCTAATTACACATCAAAAAATCGAATTCCAACATACATAACCTGAAATTTCATTTGCATTTCCAGCCCTTGTGGCATTCTTTCCTTTAAGAAGAAGATTCACAATTGCAGTTTCAACCTACATGCGACAAAGAGTTACAAATAGATCTACACAGAAACAGAGAAAAAAAGGAAGGGAAAAAACACATTATACCCTTCTACACCACTCTGATTCAATGCCAACAATGTCAGAGATAGCCCATTGACAGTCAAATGTTCTTTGCCATCCACCATTCACAACTGAACCTTGAAGTTTAATGCAGCTACGAGAAAATATTAACTTTGCTGTTGTACAGCATTGACCTTCATAGATGACAAAATCTGGGAAAATAACTATCACATCATCCTGAAAATTAATATAAAAATAAAAAAGTTATTACAAGCATCCACTTCATTGAAATGAAGTATAGTAAAAAGCCAATTCACAAAATGAAAAAGAAGAAATGACCAAAGTAGAAAATTTCACATTTTCTTCATAACTTCTGATGTCAGGTTCAATCAGAGAACCACCATGTGCAATGGATACTTTTCCTGGACCCTCTTTATCTCATCACCATTTCAAACCCCAATTAGAGAGGATCGCTAATATTAAGGTGCTCTTGAACTAAAAACTCCTTGACTAGTCTCCTCTTAACCCTTCCCTTAGAAGATTACATGACACAACTTTTATTGGGTCATAAGTTGAGACCCCAGCTTGCAGAAGCACACCTCCCCTCATAATTAATAGAATACTTTAGAATCCTCAGCTCCCTAAAGCCCCTCCTAATAGTACCACCCCCACTAATACACCTTCTCCCCACTCCCAATAGTACCACTCCCAATATTAAGGTGCTCTTGAACTAAAAACTCCTTGACTGGTCTCCTCTTAACCCTTCCCTTATAACATTACATGACACAACTTTTATTGGGTCATAGTTGAGACCCCAGCTTGCAGAAGCACACCTCCCCTCATAATTAATAAAATACTTTAGAATCCTCAGCTCCCTAAAGCCCCTCCTAATAGTACCACCCCCACTAATACACCTTCTCCCCCACACTCCCAATAGTACCACCCCACTTAGAAACAGTTGGGAGACCTAGGCTAGCCTAAAGAGAAATTTGGTCCAACAATTTACCTGTTATTAACTTAAATTACTTGTATATAGAGAAAATGACTGAAAAGATAGGAAGTCCAACCCAAATGAAGATTATACAAATTAAATATTTGTTACATTATTAAATTTATACAAAGTCGAGGCAAACTTCAAATTTCACAATAAGTTGGAGTGTCCACCTCATTATTTGCAGCACGAGAAAGCAAAACCACACTAGTCTCAAAAATCTCCCGCTCTTTAAGACCATCTTCAGGTGACCGATCTACAACAAGTGCAACAAAAGATGTTCCCTTATTAAATGTATGTTGTAACCAAAGCGTCAATTAACCCACAGTGCTGCATCTTTCTAGAATATTTTCTTCTTGTCTAATTTAACTATTGAGAGAGAGGATAAAACATAACATAAATTTAATAAGTCAAAAGAACATAAAATTGGGATTACCTACACATGTATCTTCAGAAGCAAGATCCGATGGTCCAGTGCTAATTTGATGACTTGCAGAGTTAGCAACTGAATTGGATGTTCGAACTTCAATTAGACAAACAAATCTAAGAATAAAGAAAGAAAAGTAATATGAATGCATGGAGCGTAGGTGCTACTGGACATCACACATAAAAACTAAACACCAAAAGCTTGCAGTTAACTGGCTAGAATTGTAGAAGAAGAGTAGTTACAAAAGAGAGTATCATTCTTGTTTTTTTCTAAGAAACCGAACTTTTCATTGAGACAAATGAAAACAAAAACAACGACAAGGGCATACAAAAAAAACAGCCCACGAGAAGGAAGCGAGCCTAAAGAAAGGGCTTTCGATCCAAAAGAATCATTCTTGTTCACTTCTAGCAACCACTTTTTTCTTTCATAAGATACTAAATTTCATAGAACTGCACACTTACAAAAAGAGTCCCAGTTAGTAGCACCATGATGAAGTACAAAAATGACTAAAATTTAAGTTAAAATTACTCTGCGTTGTCATATTGAGAAAGAATTACTTTTGCTATTTTGTGGGGTATTTGAATCAAGAGGAACAGTAGAATTTTTAGGAAAATTGAGAGGTATTGGGGGAAATTTGGGAGCGGGTTAGATTTAATACCTCTCTCTGAGTGTCAGTTTCTAAGGCATTTTTTTTATAAGAAACTAGACTTTCATTACAAGAGAATTACAAAAAAAGGGGAGATGAGCTATTCCCCGCTTGCCAAGGAATTACAAAAAAACATCCCAATTGGCAAAGATTTGAGAGACACCATAATTACAAAAGGCTTTATGACTAGCAGCCCACAAAGAGACACAAAGTCTAACATTCTCCCAGAAAATCCTTCTCTCGGTCTCCTGCCCCAAAAAGCATCTTTTCTATTCCTCTCGAACCATAATTTCCAACCAACCCTGCAATACCAAACGACCAAAGGAGATTTGCTTTTCCTTTAAAGAACGTTCCTTTAAACAACTGTAGAATACCATTGGCGGCCTTGTTAGGAAGCACCAGCTTAAGTTAAACGTCTGGAAGAGGTTTGTCCAACAAGTTGAGGCAAAGGGGCAGTTGAGGAGCAGGTGCCATTGATCTTCTTCACTATTCTTGCACAACACACACCAGCTAGGGGAAAGGCACATATTCGGCATCACCTTTTGAATTCTAGAGCAGGTTTTTAGCCTTTCATGCATCATCAACCACAAGCAAATCTTAACCTTCTTAGGGACCTCGACCTTCCATATAAAGTTTCCTTTAAAGTAATTCGCCCTTGAGGCCTCTTGTGAAAGGTTAACCATGTAGGATTTAACCGAGAACATTCCACTATTATATGGACCATATCTTCCATATAATCACCATTTAGTGCTATTCTTTTGGATTGGAGTCCATTCTTATAGGCGGATCCCTTTTTGTCGGGCTTGTTTTTCCTATGCCCCTTGTATATTCTTTCATTTCTTCTCAATGAAAGCTTAGTTTCTAATTAAAAACATCAAAGCTTATCTTCACACCATATAATGGGAAGAGACCATAGTAATCACCAAACAGAACTCTCATGATGACTGGTTTGAGATTTGTTACACGAAAACCCTTAGAGCTAGCCATTTTGTAAAATCTTTGATAGGCATCTTTGAGAGAGACATCCTCGATCCAACGACCTTCCCAAAACAAAATCTTATCACATCTACCAAGCTAACTTCTGTACCAATTTTCCACCAAATGGCAACAACGTTCCAACCTATCATGAGCCTTCTCAAAGCCTAGCTTAATGATCCGCCCTTTGTTCTTTGTGCACCGGTACTCATCCACAACCTCTCGTTCCCAATCAATTTCAAGTCCAAGCTTTGCCTTTTTACTACAAAGGTTGTTTGATTTTGAGATACAGTGAATGAGAGGACCTTTTTTAGCCTAGCTGCCAACACTTTAGCAATAATCTTGTAGATACATGTGACAAGAAAAATGTTGGCCTTGGCCTAGTGGCGAGAGGACCTTTTTTAGCCTAGCTGCCAACACTTTAGCAATAATCTTGTAGATACATGTGACAAGAAAAATGTTGGCCTTGGCCTAGTGGCATTTGTGCGCCTGAGTGGTATTTGGGGGCACAGGTTCGAACCCTTTCGAGCGCTCTATTATACATTTCTATTGAAAAATATACTTGTGACAAGACTAATGGGGCGGAAGTGAGCTCTCATCTTCTTAGGAATCAAGAAATCAAACAGAGATAAGTTTCATCAACGCAAGAGTTTAAGACATCATTTTCAAAAATGTCTTGGAACCATCCCTTTGATGATGTTCCAAGACTTTTTTAAAAACTCGCAAACCCATCCAGCCATGGGGCTTTTCTGGCCCCATACTCATCAATAGTATTTTTTAAATAAGAAGCATGAGTCTATTCAAACAGGAAATAAGAGCCTAAAAGGAGGGGGGCAGATGAGGTCCCCTCCCAGAAGAACTAGATCATCAACAGCATTTTTATCAAAACTGTTGTGAAAGGGAATTCAAATTCCTTTTTTTTTTTAACAAGATACGAATTTCTCATTGAAATAATGAAAAGGAACAATAACGTTCAAAGATACAAACTCTCGAAAGAGTGAAAGAAAGAAACCAGAAAATAAAACAGATAAACTTAACAAGGTATAGTGAAAGCCTTCCAATTAAAACGTATAAACTAGGAGTATAATTCCTAAATGCAAATGATAAATAACACCAATGAGAAGCTTTGAAGTTAGCTAGACCGAAGCGGAGTCCCAGTGGCTGCTATTTCCTTCGAACACTCTGAGATTTCTTTCGAACCAAAGCTCGTAGAGAATAGCTTTTACGGCATTCAGCCACAGAAGATTAGCTTTAGGACTTAGAGATAGCCCTAACATTATCTGATGGACATTCCTTGCTACTGTGTTGCCAAACACCCAGGACATCTTAAACTCCTCGAACAAACATTCCCAGCAATGCCAAGCATAGGGGCAGAAGAAGAATATGTGGATTGAGCATTCCTCATTGTCTTGGCAAGGAGGACAAATAGAAGGCAGGAGAGTATGGCCAGAGAGTTTCTTTCGAAGGACATCGATGGTATTCACCTTTCCATACAGTAGAATCCAAATGAAGAAACTAACCTTCTTAGGGCTCTTAGTTTTCCAAATAGCTTTAAATAGGTCTGTTGGCATAGAGATATCTGGGAGAGACTTGGGAATTGATGCCATTGTGAAGCAACCCGATGGATCCAATGACCATATCCTATTGTCTGGGCTAGTATTGGGAGAATATAAATTTAGCAGTGATAGAATGAGGTGAATTCCTCAATCTCGTCATCTTTCAACGCCCTACGAGAAAGAACTTTCCAAGAAAATGTCTGTGCATCCCAAAATCAGCAAAATGGTTGTATAGCTTCCAATTTCGAGAGATATTGGTCCAAAGGCATCTGAGGCAGCTATTAACCTTTTCCCCCGCCGACCAACCGAACTCCTTTTCCCCGTAAAGACTTGCTACCACCTAACGCCAGAGAGCATTTGTTTCCCTACCAAACCGCCAGCCCCACTTTGCTAACAAAGCGTTGTTCATTCTTGAGAGCCCGCCAACACCCAAACCTCCATTTTCCATAAGTTTGGACGAAATATTCTAGTGAGCAAGATGATTTAGAGCTCCGGAGGATCCACTATTCCATAAAAAAGTTATCATCATTTTTTCAACTTGCTTTCGAACCCCTCTAGGCATTTGGAACAAGGAGAGATAATAGAGAGGAACCTCGACATATACTCGTTATTAAATGGTAAATTCACTTGGTCAAATGGAAGGAATAGCCAATCTTACTACTTAGAAATAGTTTTTTTGCTTCTACAAAATAGAATAAATTGTTTAAAAATGAGAACCAGCACCTTTCAGATTTTCTAATAGATGGTCAGGATTAAAGGAAGGGATCAAAGTGGTTGAAGAAAGTTGGGAGGAGGAGGAGGTTATTAATGGATTGGTTCTACTCTTCCAAAAATTAAAGATATCAAAAGAGAAATTACAGAAATGGAACAGATTTTTGCACAGATAAATGAGTAAGGAAGAAGTTGTAGACAAAGAAATAGAAGAATTTTTTAAAAAAGGAGAATGAATATCTTGAATAGTGATGAAAGAATGGAGAGACGAAAAGCTAGAAAGAGTTTTTTTTTTTATATTGTGAAATCAAAGGGTTAGAGGAGGAGATGGAAATTTTTGTTCTTTCATAATTTTCCCAAGATCTTAAATGCAAGGAGAAATTTTATCTTAGAACTTAGCTCGAGGGGATATGCCACTCATTTCAAGGAAGACCAAGAAATGAAGAAAATACCAGAAATGATGAAGCTCACCAATGGAGAACCAAATTAGGGCTCCATATTTGTTTCCAAATGTTCTTATTTCTCACTCATAGAAACGATGGACCTTGCCCCTCTAGGTCATGTTAATGTAGGGGCATTTTAGTTGATTGATATAAGGCAGGATGTTGCCAAGTTTTGCTTTATTTTGTTATCTACCTGGATATAATAGAAGTACATCAAGTGTCATTAATTTTTATATTTTATCTTTTCTTTGATTTTTGTTTTTTTTTAACAAGAAACAAACATATAGAAAAGAAGAAAATTTTCAAGGATACAAACTCCCAAAGGAGTGACAGAAAAAGAGAACGGGCCAAAGTAGAAAAGAGTAGAAAAGAGGCTCAACAGAGAGCATTACAATCAAAATAAGAACAATAATTAAATTTTAAATTTTAGTTATTTAATACAATTTCGAAAGCATATATTCATTTTATACTGAATAATTTTTACACCTTACCATCAATGATTTTTTTAGATAAAGAAAAAAATTGTATATTTTTTCAACCAGAAACAACTATTCATTGATATATGAAAAAGAAAAAGTTCAAGATACAAACCTTAAAGGTGTGAAAAAAGAAGAGAGAGAAGAAGAGAAAAGTAACGAAGAATTAGCACAACAAGAGCAATACAAGCTCGAAGAAGATAAAAAGCATTCTAAACCAAAACTCAGAAAAACTGCTTTCTATAGAGCTTGAAGCAGTGTTTTCGAGGCGCACCCAGGCGAGCGCCTAAGGCGAGGGGCGAGGCGATTTCGCCTGAGTGCGCCTTGAGTGGTGCCAGGGTGACCGCCTTCAACCGGGCGCTCGCCTTGGTGCGCCTCACTACGCCTTGGCGCGCCCTCGCCTTATGGCGAGGCGAGCGCCTGGTTGAAGGCGGGCACATCAAACTTTTTTTTTTTAAATCAATTTAACTCAATAAAAACCCACCTCATAACGAAAATAAACAAAAAGAGAACGAAGAGTTTAAAAAAGAAGAAGATGAAGAGAGGAGAAAACCAGAACTGTAGGAGATAAGAAGGGAGATAATAGAGATGGTAGAGTTGAAGGAAGAAGAAAATTTGAGGTAGAGCATGTTGAAGAAGAAAAGCTTGAGGAGGAGAAGAGCTTTTCTTTTTTTGTAGAGTACGAGAAGAAAAAATTGAGGGCAGTACTAAAGAAAGAAAAGTTTGAAGGCAACACATTTTTCTATGTGCTTGCTAGCTGTCAAATAGTATTTTTGTGTTTCCCATAAACACAGCTATTTATTATAAATACGGTTTCCATAAATACAACTATTTCTATTTAATTCTTTAGCATTATTGAACTATTTTTTTACCATTTATTTTAAATACAATTTTCTCTCTGCTTCTTTTTTCTTTAATTTGAATATTTTTATTTTTCTCAATTATTTAAATTAATTTTTATTTGAATATATATATATATATATTTTAATTTTCACATTTTATTGAATATTTATTTATTTTACATATAAATTATTAATAAATATTATTTATTAAATATTTTATTCAGTGTGCCTCGCTTCACTCAGGCCTCGCCTTTTTATCGCCTCTCGCCTTGAAGTGCGCCTTGCGCCTTGAAAACACTGGCTTGAAGAACCAAACGAATTCTAGAGCCAACGACCGCATGAGGGAAAAAACTTTCCTTAGCACCAAAAGCAAAGACCAAACTCCAAAAAGAACCAAGTAGAAGCTAGTACACAAGAACTAAACCGCAACCGAAATGCTAACAAGGGGTAATCACCAAAAACTAAGCCTCAATGTTAGTCTTCAAAAAAACCTCCAAATATAAACCACCATATGCCAACCGGCACGCCGAAAAGAATATTTAAAAACCTCACCATCCAAACTAAAACTGAAAGCTTTGAAAATTGCAAAAGGCTTAATAAGAGAGAACATTTTAGCTTTCTAAACAACTTAAAACTCAGTGGACAGATTCAAATGGGACAAGAGTAATCCCCCTCCCTTCAAAACAGAAAGGAATGGTTGTTTGTTGTGGAAGATCCAACTTCTCATCTTTTTTTGCCCATTAAATAAAATCTGAAAATCTTCATCAAAGGATCATCTTTCGGTAATCGGTATTCTTCATACCACGTGGAAAAGGGTTGCCTTTTAACTTTTGGTTCAGAATAGCTTCTGCATTTATTTCTTGAAAATCAGTAGGACCAATAATGTCTTTTTCTTTATCAATTTCCATGACTTTTCTAGCCAGAGGAGTACTTAACTGACTTGCCAGAAACTTTTCAAAATCAGAGGCAACTGAAGCGCGAGGGTCAATTGTAAGCCGCTTTTCTAGGCTATCCTTCTTAATAAACTCTTTGCCAAACTAAAACTCTTGATCTGTCAAAACTTCTTGCAGTCTTTTAAAGTCCAACGAGTTAGGGGAATCAGCAATCGACGTAGTCTTGGAGAGTTGGACAGAGGAAGAAGACAACCTGGTAGCCTCATTTATGGCAACCCCACTTGTACCTCAAACACTCCACATTTCATAGTTATCTCAATAGAAGCCAGAATAAAGCTACAAACATTCTTCTCGATTTGGATGAGAGCTGCTCAACAATCTAACAGATTTAAGGTTGTTTAGGGTTGTTGAAGAGACTTTTTTCAAACCTCCCAGATGAGTTCCAATGGCCTGGCCTTAAAGCATCGCAAATTCCAGAGCTCTAAAGGTACAAGTCACAAATTTTCACCCACCCACCAAAACAAACCATCACTTCCTTCCTGCCATGTTCTTTAAGATTCTATTTTTCCAACTTCACATATGAAATCCATCATGCACCATTTACCATTGAGTCAATCAGAGTTCAAAGGTCTTCCACCTCCGAATCTAAACAAAGTTGTATTTGCCAAGAAGGGGTTGACTTGACAATTTTCCGAGAAGACACTTTTGAGGAAAGCAGAAATTGCCTTCCAAATATCTTGAGCACAAAACCTTGAAATAACCATGGCGTTATCCTAATTCGTTTCCACAACTTCGGATTCCTTTTGGACCCAATAAGAGTTGCTCCATTTGCCAAAGCTTCGCTGCTTGGCCAAAGAGCAATTTCCCTCGTAAATCTCATCCTCTACGATAGGTGTAGCATCATGAAGGAATCTTTTAGCATATCCCACCATGAAGGAATCTTTTAGCATATCCCAGAAGAGTTACTGGTGTAACTCCAAAGAGAGAATTTTATTAAGAGTGATAAGATACTAAACTAAGGGGGAAACTTGCTATTTATAAGCAAGGAAGCAGAGAAGGTTTTAATTAACCAACCTGACTAACCAACTAACTAACCAATCTGAATAACAAATAACTAACCAAGCCAACTAAACAAACAACATAACTAACCAATCTGAATAACAAATAACTAACCAAGCCAACTAAACAAACAACAGAACTTCTAACTACATCAGTTACCCAACCTTTTTTCCTAAACCCAAAAGGCATTGATATGAATTTTGTCCACCCGATGTGGAACCAAACGACACATTCCAAAAATCATCCATGCAAGAATCTCTTTTTCTGAAGTCGAGAAGTTCCATTCCCATAACTTGCATAAGGAACCTTAAATGAAGTGGGAAGCATAGCAACTCATCCAAAGCCTTCTCAAGCCATTGAAGCTTGGAAACTTGAAGAGAAATTTGAACATTCTTCATAGAGTTTTTGATGAAAAAGCAATGATTATCACACCAACTCCAATAGTAATTGTTTGTTACGCTACAACTTCTCAAGTCTATATCCAAACTTGAATGAAAAAACATAGTCCAACAGAGGAAGACAGAACCCTAGGATGAAGAACAAAACCGAAAAAGCCAAGAGGAAGACAAATTGATCCAAAACTACCCCTGACGGCGAAGAAGACGCTAAAGTTGGAGGAAAGATGTCAGACGACGACAGTCGAAGAAGCATCAGCAATGGAGATAGGTTCAGGTTTCAGGTTAGGGTTGCAACTGGAAGAGGCAAAGTTAGGTTTCGGGTTAGGGTTACGACAGGAAGAGGCAAAGATGGACGGACGGCGAAGATAAAGGTAGTGTTTGGGTTAGGGTCGCAACGTACAGCAAAGGCGGAGGCGGACAGCAGCGATAGAGATAGGGTAAAGGTTCGTTTGGCCGACGACAAAGGCAGGATTACGGTAGGGTTCATAAAAATATTGTATTAATTAAAAAACAAGGAATGGTTATTATTAAACTTTAAAATACACATGCAACAATTGTGAGTACTAACTAGTGAGAATAAAAAACAACACAAAATTCAGAACATATCCTAACCTTTAGAATTGATGCGAGTGATCTCGTAGCTAGCACTTTCACAGGAACTATCAGTGTCGGCACCTTTTTCAATTGAAACAGATGTAAAGAAGGAAAAAAAATTTCAAATTCCATGCATATCACAATAGATATCGCTAACCATGGAGTCAAACCATAAGAAGGAAAGGAAGGGACGGAAAAATATCTGATACACATGCACATACAAAATGTATTAAAGGAAAAAGAACAAGACAAAAGGTGATTGATGATATCAACAAGGAAAACAGAAAATGAAATATTAAGAAACAATAAGTCAGCTCTAAGAAAATGAACCAAAAAAAATTATTACCTTACCTTCGGCATCAATATCAATGAGTTCAATGCTAACATTTCCCAAACTTTCAGCACCTTTTGCAACTGGATTGAAGGCACAAGAAATAGTTCAGACAAACGCATTTAATATAGTAGAGACTGATATATATTCCAAAATTATGCATACACATGTTGCATTGAGAAGTTTGATCCTATTCTTACCAACATATTACACAAAGCAGAGGCTCTCAGCGAACTCTAAAAAAACTGTGGTCATAAAACTTGTCATACACCACATCCATCAATAATCACGGCGTGTCAACATTGTCGTGATTTTGAGGTTAATCTTTTGGGGTTATTTGAGAGTTATCAAAAACATTGCTAAAGATCAAGACTTCCATGGAAGGGCCAAAAATGATGCAGTGTGCGGTAGATATCATGAAAGGTCTCGTGTCAGATGATTTTTCAAGAAAGCTTAGAAGGTGTCGTGGTGAAAGGTTTATGTAGTTGTCCCTATATTGCTTCAATGTCCTGCTTCTTCTTTCTCCAGAGTCTGGTTGTTGTTCTTTCTATACCACTGATATTTTGAAGCTTTGTTTCTTTGCTCTCTTCAACGGTTAAAAGTTGGGTAATCCGAATGATTTTGAAGTTTTGAAGCCAATAACAGAGCTTGCATACCCCTTATTTATGTTCGCCGGTGTATTTAGGTTTTTTGTTGGTTTCTTCCAAGAGTGGTTGTTCTTTGCTTGATTCTCTTTGGAGTATCTGTTTTAAGGATTTTATCCCTCAAGCTTTCTTCAGTCAGACCTTTAAAGATGTGTTTGTGGAATCTTCTTTTGATCTTCTTTCGGTTCTCCATGCTTAGTCATGAGAGTTCCTTCAACACTGTCCCTTGGTTCTACCATGCTTAGTAGCACGCCATTTGCAAAGTTCCTTCTGCATTGTCCCTTGGTTCTAAATGTTGTTTATCTTTGTTGTGATTGTATTGCTCATGTTGAGCTTTCCCTAAGGATTTCGGCTATTTGTTTTCTTCTTTCACCCTTATGGGGTTTGTATCTTGAACATTTTTTGTATTTTTCCTTTCCATATATCAATGAAAAGTTGTTTCTTGCTCCAAAAAAAAAAACATTATCGTGATTATTGATGAAACTTACTTGTAAAATACTTTTTAGTTTTGAAGTTGCCAAACTAAATGAACATAATTCACGACCCATATAGTTTCATTGCAATGTTAAAATTCTAATAGTTATTTGAGATATCATGTATGTTTAAGATCAATAGAATATTTGATGTCTAGTAACTCTAACTACAATATCATCGAGCATGGTCATTTATGCTGAGAAACAATTCAATATCAACGGGATATAATAAAATTGGTATGTTTTATTTTCTATTAACACAGTATTGCAACAGCATTATAAACAAGCCTCGAAACTTGAAATACGTATCGAAGTTGCCTTTTTCATTTTTCACATCATGAGTTTACTCGATGCATGCTTTAATCCAAAATTTTTGTTTAAAAGATTTGTACGCATATTTTCATCCCTTGCATTATCCATATTATTCTTGTGAACAAGAAACGAATTTTTCAGTGATAAATGAAAAGAAACAAAAAATTGTAAGGTATCTCCCATACACGTTGATATTCAAGCATGCTGTGCTAAAGCATACAAAGGTGCCCAACCGTTAGAGAGAGTTGGGAGCTCTCCTTCCAAGGCTAAACCTTATAAAAGACAAAACATGTCATAACAAGCTAACCCAAAAGCATAAATAGTACCATCATAAAGAATACCTTACAAAAGTCCTACCCCATTGACTTTACCTAGGGGGAATTGACCCCTTTGCCCATCCTAGTGTACGTATTTACTACGGGGGGCCTCACATTACCCCCAGGGGAGAAAGACACCTTGTCCTCAAGGTGGACGTGGGGAAACTGTCGACAAATGGTAGAGATGCTCTCCCATGTTGCCTCATGTTCAAGAAGGTCACGCCACTTAATGAGAAGCTCCCATTCATCTGTATACGAGCTCTTTCAAAGACCTATCACATGAGCAGGCTCGACTACCCATTCAAAATCCTCTAAGAGGTTCAACGGTGGGTTTGAATGTTGTGGTTGGGGCCGATGGCTTTATTTAGCTAGGAGACCTAAAAAATGGGGTGACTGGTGGCTTTGGGTGGGAGATCAAGGCGGTAAGCAACCGAACCTACACACATCATAATGGTGTATGGTCCAAAATATTTCAGGGTCAGTTTTTCACAGCAATGTTTGGCTAAGGAAAGTTGGTAGTAGGGTCTGATTTTTAAGTAAACTAAATCACCTCCAGAAAATTCAACCTATCCAGCGACGTTTATTGAAAAACTTCTTCAAGCGGTCTTGGGCATCATTCAAGTGGGTTTTTAGGCCGGGCTTGGTCTCGATCGGCTAACTGCTGATCCAAATTGGCGTTGGAGATTTTTCTGATCGCCATAGAAAACCAGAGGGGGAGGGGCCCGACCATAGACAACATGGAAGGGAGTAGTGTTGATGGAGATATGGTAAGTGGTATTATACCAATATTCAGCCCAAGCCAACCAATTACTCCCCACTGTCTCGATTTTTCGCTGCAGAAACAGCACAAATACATCTCCAAGCACTTGTTAACAATCTCCATTTGGTCGTCGCATTGTAGATGGTAAGCGGTGCTCTGGTGTAGTCAAGTGTCATGGAGGTGTAATAGCTCAATCCATAAATGGCTCAAGAATATTTTGTAACGATCCATTGAGTGGGGAAAACCGTTGGAGGTGGACAATCTCCTTCATAAATAGTGCAGCAATAGATTTAGCTGATAAAGGATGACTAACCGGAATAAAATGGCCATACTTGTTGAGCCGATCAACCACTACAAAGATAGCTCTGATACCAATTTTTTTTTTTTTTTGAACAAGATACCAACTTCTCATTGAAGAAATGAAAATGAACAAAATGTTCAAAGATACAAACTCTCAAGAGAGTGAAAAAAGGAAATAACAAAAATTAAAAAGGTACAATAAAGAACAAATCAAGCTAGGGGTGTAACTTTTAAAAATAGAAGATAGGGAACATCATTGAGAAACTTTAAACTTAGCTAAATTTCTTTTTTTTTTTTAACAAGATACGAACTTTTCATTGATAAATGAAATGTTCAAAGATACAAACTCAGGAGTGAAGATAAAGAAAATAAATAAAAGTGAGCATTAGAAGACTTTAAACTTAGCTAAATTGGAACGCATCTCCGGAGAATGTTCTTGTCTTCAAAAATTCTGAGATTCCTTTCATACCACAGCTCGTAGAGAAATGCCTTTGTAGCATTAAGCGAAAGAAGGTTGGCTTTAGAATTAAAGCTTGGCCCGAGAAGAAGCTGAGAGATATTATCAGCAGCAACGTTTCCAAAGACCCACGATAAATTAAAGGCTTCAAAGAGAAGATCCCAGCATTGACGAGCAAAAGGGCAGAGGAAAAAAAACGTGAACTAAGCTCTCTTCACTGGAAAGGCAGAGTGGGCATATTGAAGGTAGGAGAACATGACTAGACAGTTTCTTTTGTAATACATATGTTGTGTTGACTCTTCCAAATAAGAGAATCCAAGTGAAAAAAACTCACTTTCTTTGGACTTTGGTCTTCCAAATAGCTTTAAATAAATCTTGAGGCATAGGAACATTTGAGGACAACTTATGGAGGGAAGCCACTGTGAAGACACCTGATTTGTCCAAGGACCAAATCCTTCTATCTGCTCCATTTACAGACGAATATATATTTAGAAGTGATAGAAGATAAATAAATTCCTCAATCTCATCATCCTTCAAAGCCCGACGAGAAGTAATTTTCCAAAATAACGTCTGTGGATCCCAAAAATCGGCAAGTGAACCTGAAAGGGACAAGGATAAACGGTAAGTTTTTGGAAATCTGACCAAGAGAGGCTTGTCCTCTATCCATATGTGGTTCCAAAAAAGAATATTGGAACCCGACCCCAATTTGAAAGATGTAAACTGACTGAATTGCTTCCAATGTTGAGAAATACTAGTCCATGGGCACCTAAGGCAGGCATTAATTCTTTCACCCGCAGACCATCCGAATTCAAACTCTCCGTACAAACTTGCAACGACATGCCGCCAAAGGGCAGAGTTTTCCGAGCCAAAATGCCAGCCCCATTTGGCTAAAAGTGTGCTGTTCATTTTTGAAATTCCGCCAACCCCCAGACCACCGTCTTCCATGAGCTTGGACGAGATATTCCAGTGTACAAGATGATTCAGCACCCCCGACTGGCCACTGTTCCATAGGAAAGTTCTCATACTTTTTTTCGATTTGCTTGCAAACCCCCGAAGGTACTTGAAACAAAGAAAAGTAGTAAAGTGGAATACTAGATAGGACTGATTTGCATAAGGTCAATCTACCTCCTCTGGACAGATTATAACGCCTCCAACGATCCAGCTTCTTCTCTATTTTCTCCAAAACAGGGCTCCAGAAAACAGAGGATCTCAGATTCCCCCTAAAGGTAAACCGAGATACATGATAGGAAAGGAAGCAAACTGGCAGTTCAAAGAAGATGCTACTTGCAGACCTCTTTGTGTCGGAATGTTTACACCGCTGATGCTTGATTTCTCCCAATTAACGGAAAATCCGGAAAGCCATTCGTAAGCTTTAATAGCTTCAGTGAGGTTCCTCAACATAATGTCATCATCCTTGCAAAAAATAAAAGTGTCATTTGCAAATTGAAGATGAGAGATATGGACTTTCTTACCTCCAAGCACGAATCCTTCATAAGAACCCCTTTCATAAATATTCTCCAGCATGCTACTGAAAACATCTGCTACTAGGAGAAAAAGAAAAGGTGAAAGTGGGTCACCTTGCCTTAGCCCCCTAAAAGCCACGATGCGACCTTTAGGCCTCCCATTAATAAAGATTGAGTACTTAGTTCCTATTACACAATCGTTGATCCACTTGCACCATTTTCTACCGAACCGCTTTTGAAGAAGGACATCTTCCAAAAAAAGCCCAATCGACCTTGTCAAAGGCTATCTCGAGATCCAGCTTGAGCAACCACCCGCCTTGCCTTTGAGCGGGTCACGTGGATTGGCCAAGGTCTTCTTCGGCTAATGATACCTCGATCCCGAAGCTTTATAGGCTTCCACGGCTTCATTTGCAATCAAGATTGGATCCAATATATGTCGGCCTTCAATGAAAGCACTTTGAGTGGCTGAGATAGTATCAAGCATAACCTTTTTAAGGCGCTCGATCAGCACCTTGGCCAGCACTTTGTAAATTGAAGAAGAGAGACTAATTGGCCTGAAGTCGCGAATTCTTGAGGCTGCGACTTTTTTGGGCAGTAGGCAAATGAATTTTTCTTTGAGGCACCCATTAATATGGCCGTTAATGTGAAATTACTTGAAAAAGTGAATAAAATCTTCCTTCAAGTGATGCCAAAATCTGATGAGGAATTCCGTTGTGAAACCGTCGGGGAGGGTTGACAGCTCTCCTTCCAAGGCTAAACCTTACAAAAGACAAAACATGCCATAACAAGCTAAACCCAAAAGCATAAATAATACCCTCACAAAGGATACCTTACAAAAGACCTACCCCATTGACTTTACCTAGGGGGGTCGACCCCTTTGCCCTTCCTAGTGTAAGTATTTACTGTGGGGGGCCTCACAAAAATGTTCAAGAATAAAAGTAAACAGCAAAAAAACTAAAAAAAGATACAAGCAAAAGCACCAATAAAAACTAGAAGTAGACATCCTAGAAGTAGACATCCTGTACACATCTAAAAAAGGGAAAAGCAAAGCCCCAATTAGAATAGATCATACTAGGAGAGTATTGAACAAAAGATTGGATAGAGCAATTAGAATAGATCATACTAGGAGAGTATTGAACAAAAGATTGGATAGAGCGCACCATTGAGAGGCTTTAAACTTGGCCAAACTGAAACACTCCAACAAAGGTCTTCATTTTTCCTCGAAAATTCTTTTGTTTCTCACAAACCAAAGCTCCGAAATGAGAGCTTTGACCCCATTCACCCAATAGGCCGGCTTTAGGGGACAAACATGGATTGAACAGTGCATTATCCATATTATTAACTTTCTCTGCTTACTCACTACTCTTTCAACAATTTCTTGGAGCCTCTTTCTTTAGGTGGGCCTCCATTTCTTTTGCATGTCCATGTGTATTCCATTTTTTTCAGTTTCTAAATGAAAAGTTTGGTTTCTCATTTAAAAAAATCAATGCTTTCCCAAAACCATTAATTTGTTGAATTGTATGGAAGCTTCCTGATAATTATTGTGGATTCATCCCAGCTTTCATTCCCATTTCTTCTCCACAAGGGACAGAGTTAAAGATACAAGTTTGTATAGCGACGGACATAAGAAACTTTGAAGAGAGGACCGTCGGAATCCATGGCAACTTCACAACTCAGGCAGTCAAAGCTTTCCATGAGGGTCATAGCTTAAACCCAATGGATATTAATCAAATTCCATTAGCCCATTCCCCTAGACATTCACGTGAAAAAGGGAAAGGAAAAGAAATGGTTTTGAGCCCAGTACATTCTAACATTGAGCCTTGAGCCATCCATCATCAGCCACACATTGTTTCTCGGGAGGAACATTAAAAAAAATCAAATTTGATGCGTCAAAGAGGTACGAAAAAGGGAGAGAAACTTAAGAAGGAAACGAAGAGCCCCAAGAGAGTGAAACGTTTTCTTTGGATCATGATCCAAAGCAGGCTTAACACTAGTGATAAGCTTCGGAAGAGAATGCCAAGTTTTTTTCATATCCCCTCAATGGTGGTGCATCTTTTGCAAAGCTGATGCCGAAAGTCAATCTCGCACTTTCTTACTCTACCTAGTTGCTTCTTCCTACTAGAATAATTTGTTTCATTCTTCGGACTAAGTTGGTGCTCCCTCAAATACCGTGATTGCTCTATCTCCCAACTCATTCTAGGCCCTAACTTCAAGGGTCACTCTAGAACTCTCTGGACTAATTCAGTGATAGCATCTATTTGGTATCTATGGACAAAAAGAAATCAATGAATTTTTTAGGGATTAGAAGTCCAGAACAAGCTGACGGAATTCTTTTTGTTTCCATGTTTCTTCTTGGTGCCTTCTCTCTAGGCTCTTTTGAAATTATGATTTGTTGCATATCTTTGTCAATTAGGAAGCCTTTTTGTAATCTCGTGGTTGCAAGGAGATCACTCATTCCCCATATATGCATTTTATAAGTTCTTATAACAAAAGAAAAAAGTTTTGGAATGTAGTTATTCTTTATCCATTAAATTTAGAAAATTGTTAGATTTCAAATGTCTATGGGACAAATTGTTACTAGGAAAAAGATTCTGCTGGGAGAAAGGCAAATTTTGAGTGCTTATGGAGAAGATGCATAATGCTGGATGGGATTTCAATGTGTTAAAAGTAAAAAGGAAAAATCTAATGGTGGGAGAGTGCCGAGAACTAGAAGTGTGGTTAAAGTTAATAGGTTGATATATGAGATGAAACTCATAAATAGTCATTATTAAATGGTAATTTCACTAGGTCAAATGGAAGGGAACGGCCAATCTTATCACTTTTAGATAGTTCTTTTGCTTCTAAAGATCAGAATGAATTGTTTAAAAATGAGAACCAGCACCTTTCAGATTTTCTAATAGATGGTCAGGATTAAAGGAAGTGATCAAAGTGATTGAAGAAAATTGGAAGGAGGAGGAGATTAGAGGTTCTGGTTCTGCTCTTCCAAAAAACAGAGACGTTAAAAGAGAAATTAAAATAACGGGACAGATCTTTTCATAGAGAAATGAGTAAGGAAGAAGGTGTAGACAAAGAAATAGAAGATTTCTTTTTAAAAATGAGGATACAGATCTTGAATAGTGAGGAAAGAGTGGAGAGAGGAAAATCTAGAAAGAGTTATTTTAGAAAAATATGAAATCAAATGGTTAGAGGGAGATGAAAATTCTTTTTTTTTCCTTTTTTTTTAACAAGAAATGAACTTCTCATTGAAATAATGAAAAGGAGTGTAAATGTTCAACAATATGAACTCTCGAGAGGGTGAAATAAAACAAAATACAAGTAAACAAATAAACCTCAAAGATTAAGAGATAAAATAAAAGCTCTCCAATTAAAACAGATAAGGGAAGGAGAATAATTTCCAAAAAGAGGTGACATGGAACACCACTGTGAAGCTTTAAATTTAGCTAGGCTAAACCGATCAAGCGGAGGATTGCGTCGATCCTCGAATATTCTGAGATTTCTTTCATACCAAAGCTCATAGAGCTAAGTTTTGACTGCATTTAACCACAACAAACGACCTTGTGGGGGCAAATTCAATCTAAGAAATAACTGTTGAACATTGTCCACTGTTGAACCACTAAAAACCCAATATAAGTTGAATTCTTTGAATAACAAAACCAACAATGCAGAGCATAAGGACATTGGAAGAATATATGAAGCAAATTCTCCCCACTAGCTTGACAAAGCGTTTTTCATTTCATCTTAGATGCAAGAAGGAGAAATTTTTATCTTAGAACTTGCATCAGCTGGGGGGTTGAGATATGCCACTCATTTCAAGGAAGACCAAGAAATGAAGAGCATACCAGAAAGGATAAAGCTCAAGAATCCAGGACCAAACTAGAGCTCTACATTTTTTCAAATGTTCTCATTTCTCACACATGGAAAGGAGGCCCGACCTTGCCCTTCTAGATTGTATACTATTAATGTCGAGGTATTTTAAAAAATTGACATAAGGCTGATGATGTGGCCAAGTTTTGCTTTATCTTAGTATTTACTTAGATATAATAGGATTAAATCAAGTGTCATTATTTATAAAATTTAGTTATTAATACAATTCCAAAACCATGTTCACTTTTGAAATTGAATAATTTTTAAACCTTACCATCAATGATTATTCTTAAACTTTAAAATACACATGCAACTAGTGAAAAAAATCAGAATATATGCTTACCTTTAGAATTGATATGAGTAATTTCGTAGCTAACATCTTCACATAAGCTATCAGTGTCGGCACCTTTTTCAACTGGATCAGAGGTAAATGAGGAAAATAAATTTCAGGTGCCATACATATAATAGTAAATAGCACTTTCCAAGGAGAAAACCATAAGAAGGAAAGGAAGGGTGGGAAAAAGATCTGATACACATGCACATCACAATCTATAAATAAGGAAAAAGGAAAAGACCATAGGTGATTGATGAAAGCAATAAGAAAACCATAAAATGAAATTAACGAAAGAATAGGTGATGCTCTAAGAAAATGAACAAAAAAAATTATTACCTTACCTTCAGCATCAATATCAATGAATTCAACGCTAACATTTTCCCTTAAACTTGCGGCACCTTTTGCAACTGGATTGAAGGCAAAAGAAATAGTTTGTATTCTAAAGTTTGATCCCCACTCTTGACAACACACATTATGCAGAACAAAGACTCAGCCAACTTTTAAATAAATTGTGATCATAAAACTTGTCACACACCGCATCCATCAATAATCACAGCATACATGCATACATTGTCATGGATGATAACATACTTGTAAAATATTTATGAACATGATTCACAACCCATATAGTTCATTGCAATGTTAAAATTTAGCTAATAGTTATTGGAGATATCATGTATGTGTAAGATTTGTAGCGTTTGATGTCTAGTAACTACAATACGATCAAGCGTGGTCGTTTGTGCTAAGATAATCTTTTCAGTCTAAAGGATATCCTGCAAAGCAGCACAACATGACAAAAATGAAATTGCCCTGCTATAATGTACATATATTTAATGAATAAGAAGCGTCATATAGTAAAAGCAATTCCAAAGAAACAATTCAATATCAATGTGGTCTGCTAAATTCGGTATGTTTTGTTTTCTATTCACACGGTATTGCAACAACATTAGAACCAAGTCTTCAAATATGAAACACATACCGGAGTGCCCTTGTCATTTTTCACATCATGAGTTTACTCGATGCATGCTTTTATCCAAAATGTTTGTTTAAAAGATTTGTACGCATATTTCCATCCCCCCTCTCTCTCTCTACATGCATTACCTATATTATTACCTTACTTCGCTTCCATTCTTTCTACAACTTTTTCGTCACTAATATTTACACGCTACTCCAACTACTCTCCCCATAAAAAACGATCTAGATTTGCCAGCAACCGAATTACGTTCTATTCTACTAGGCTAGCAAACAACAAAACCGGCAGACGGATTATTTCGATTATTTATCCCAGCTATCCTTCTGCAGAAGATAACTTCACCACACAGTATAACAACGTCTCCGTCCAAAATCTTAGAACATAACCTCCCTTCTCATCTGATTACAATCTGAATTAATTAATGCTCGTCTATCGGAACCAAGATGATCAAAATCCAAAAGAAAACAATTCTTATTTCCGCAAAATTAAATTTCACGCCAGCCAAGCAAAAACTGTACCACAATCATCCAAATATCAACGACGATCAAAGAGATAAGTGGAAGGAAGTACTCACAGCATTGGAGGAACTGATACTTGGTAACAGCAGAGGAACTGCCGGTAGAAAACTTGCCGAGCAAGCTTTGAGAGACTTCCTCGACGCGATGATCATCTTGGCTGAAATCGAAAACGTCGAATCTCTTGTCTCCGCCTGCGCCTCCGCCCTTTCGACTTCTCGACGAAGATCGCTTTGAAGAACGATTCATCGCTCTGATGCCGAACGCGGCCTGTAACGGTCAGAAAAGCGCCGCTAATGACATATATAGAATATACTATGATGTACGTATACGGTATACCTGCAAATGTGTGAGATTTTTTTATATTTTTTAATATTATTGAAAATAAAATTAGTTTTTAAAAATATTTTAAGGCTAAACCTTTTTTTTTAATTCCTAGCTCATTTGTGAACCGTCTTGCACGTGTACTCTCTCCCGGAGATGACACGTGGCCACATTACATTTAAACCAACACGCAAGCGAAAATGGTTCAACCCGCAAACTCGACCAATACGGCAGATCGAAGGACCCTAGCTGCCAGCGATGCCCACCAGAGGGAGGTCAGAGCAGCAGTGGTAGAGGGGCAAGGTCACGATGGCCTAGCAACAGAACCCCTCCGCAGGTCGGCACGAATCACCGCGCCTGTTCTACCA